CCCCAAAACCCCAAAACCCCAAAACCCCAAAACCCCTCAAAATTCTCCACCCATTGAATTCAAATTTAAGAGTATTCTTAGGCAGGAGGATGTTCCGTTACATAAAAGTCTAATTTGTCTTCTTCACTAGATTCTAAGTCAGATTCGCTGTCTTCCTCAGCTAAAGTATAAAATTTGAGTTTCAGTAAATTATTTAACTCTTTTTCCACCTTATCTCTGCTAGCGGTATAGATCTCTCTCAGTACATTGTTATCCGTGTAGAGAGCATTAAAATTATGAAGGTCCAATAGCTGACGTTTTTCGACAAGAAGTTCTTCGATTATGGAGATTCTATTGACGAATGTTCAAAGTACAGCAAACTTGTCATCCTTGTGTTTGGAGAAGTTAAAGCCAAAACTCTTGCCAAGAAATATCCGGTAGGAGTAGTAGTCAATAGCTTCTTTGCTCATACCTACTATTTCGGCAGCTTTTGATAAGCTAAAAGTGTTTGAATAAATGAATACCTGAAGGATTCCTCATTATCATGCTCATCTTGCATCATATTATAAATTTCTCTCCATTCATAAACTTTCTCTACCACAGGTCCGATTATACGCTCCTTAAGATCCCATCTCCAATTCCTGTCTACTTGTTGCTCAATTATTGGGGAATTAGTATTTTGAGGATTGTTAGCTGCTTCAGACTCTAAAGAACCCCCAATTGGATCAGGAGTTTCAGTTGGAGGAGGATCAATGGTAGCATGATTGTCACTTCCAGAATATCTTGGCATCTCTAAAGTATAAACATGGAAATTTTAAATCAACTTACCTTGATTAGAATTCGTAGCTGCATTGTCCTGCAGAGGCTCTTCAAGAGTGGTTTGCATCCGTCTGAACTTCAGAGTGAGCCACTTTCCCCACAGATTATATATTGATATTCCATCTTTCTCTGGCCCAATTGGAGCTTTACCAGCAAAAACATACAATTGTTCTTTCGGCGAATAGTAGGAGACTCCCATTCCAGCGGTGTTAAAGCCTTGTTCTTTGAGTCCTTCACACACTGAGGCTATGAGAATGTTTCCGTTTCAATTAGTTTTCATTTTAACATTTCTGAAGAATTGTTTGTATTGTGAATCTGCCATTAATGCAACAACATCAATCTATAAACCGCCATTAATTTCTTCGCCAAATGATGGGACAATTATATTTTATGGCTAAAATTTTTATGGTTATCCTTTCCTGAGAGGGGTGATTTCTACCTGAAACCTTGATGGACAACTTTAAATTTACTATCTAGCTCATAAAATTTGGCTGATCAAAGCTCTTGCCAAAATTTTCCTATAAAAGTATTCAAGTTTTTGAGTTAATCGGAAAATTATTTAAATTCTTTAAGGGGTATCCAGAGTCTACCACAGCCAATTATGCTCCAAAAAATCGAAATCTATCGACTTGCTTACATAATAAGTGGCAGAAGTCTCAACAATAGGGCTGCAGTTTGTCTGTTGTTCTGAACCCATACCGATCTCCTGTCTGATGTTCTGCTGACTGTTCATTTTGAATTTAAATTTTTTAGATTTAGTCAACACTTTCCCTAAATATTGGGGTTTTGGGGTTTTGGGGTTTTGGGGTTTTGGGGTTTTGGGGTTTTGGGG